TCTTGCTCAATTGACCCTTTGAGCATGAGATAGTGTCCTTCTTTGTCTCTTATGCTGGTTTTTACCTTAAAGTCTACTTTGTCGGAGATTAGTATGGCCACTCCTGCTTGTTTATTGCTGGAGTTGGCTTGGTAAATTTTTTTCCATCCTTTTGACTCTCAGTCTGTTTTTGTCCTTGTGTGCAAGGTGTGTCTCTTGCAAGCAGCACATTGATGGATCTTGTTTTTTTATCCATTCTGCCACTCTTTGTCTCTTCACTGGTGCATTCAATCCATTGACATTCAATGTAATTATCGATAAGTATGTGTTGATTACTGTCATGTTACTTTTTTGGTGATGTTGTTTGTTCTTTGGTTCTGCTTTCCTTGTGTTTTTTGAGTTGATTCTGGTCGGTTTCTTCCTTTGTTCTGTTTGGGAATTCGTTTTCATGGTATGTTATAGGATGTTAACTTTCGTTGGGGTTGCCTTGTAGTCTACTAGCTTTTCTCTGCATTTAGGATACTCCATTGCAAGCTGTGAGTTACCTGCTATCTCTACCACCTGGGCTTCTGTTGTTGCGTTTGTCCCTTCTTTGACATTGATATGTTTACGAACTTCAGTTGATCTCTGGGCTCTCTTGAGTTTGTTGTTGTAGTCTCCTTCCGTTCTGGTCTCTGTTTTCTGTTGGTTGTGTTCCAGATGGTGTTGCCTTACTTGTCAGTTTCTGTTTGTCGTCTGTTCTTGTTGGTTCTCTCTCTGTCCACACTACTCCCTTTAGGATGTTTTAAAGTGCTGGGATGGTTTTGATAAATTCCCTCAGATTCTGTTTATCCTGGAATGTTTTGATGGCACCATCGTATTTGATTGATAGTTTTGCTGGATAGACGATTCTTGGTTGACAGCTTTTTTCTTGCAGGGTTTTGTATATGTCTCCCCATTGCCTTCTTGCCTGCATTGTTTGTTCTGAATAGTCAGTGCTTAATCTAATTTGTTTGTCTTTATAGGATCTATCCTTCCTGGGGTATGCTGGGCTTCTTGAATGTTTAGCTTCTTGTCTTTCTGGATGTTAGGGAAGTTTTCTTCCAGAAGCTCTTCAACTATTTCCTCTATGGACTTCTTTGATTCTTCTTGTTCCGGGACACCAATAATTCTTACATTGTTCCTCTTCATGTTATCCAGCATGAATCTTAGACTAATTCAGATTGTTTTATCCTTTTAGCTGTTTGCTGTTCTATCTTGGCAGTATTGAGATATTTGTCTTCCAGTTCACTAGTTCTGGCTTCCATCCTTCTAGTCTGCTCCTTTCCCCTTTCAGGCTATTGTCTATTTCTGATATCTTATTATTCATCACCTGGACATCTTTTTGCAGGTTTTGAATTGTTTCCAATGCTGTGTCAATCCTATTAGATTATTCCTGCAGTACTTTCCTTACTTCTTCCTTATTTGAATTTGTTTCCATATCATTCACCTGAATTCCCCCTCTCAGGCATATCCTGCTGCTCCTCCTCAATAAAGCTTTTGTCTGTCTCCAGCTCATTTGCATCTGCTGGTCTCTTCTGCTTTTGGACGTGTTTCCATAATGTTAATTGTTTCTCGTTGGGCATTATTATTCTTGTTTTATTGTAATTATTACTAATATGATCAGAAGACAGGCGTCTCTTGCTGTCTGTAATGTGTAGTAGGTGTGGTTAGGTCTTGTCTACGAAGTGGCGACGGTGGGCAGGATGGCGGTCGAAGGTGGGCGGGATGGCGGTCGTGTGGGGTCCGGCAGTCAGGGCGGGGCTTGGGGGGGGATCCGGTGGGTGGGGCATGTGTCAAGCAGGGTTCTGGGAGGCTGGGCAGGGCTCTCGCTTTTTATGGTGGGCGGGGTCAGCAGGGTGCAGGCGCGAGGTCTGAGGTGGAGGGAACAATTCCGTGGGGGAGTGCAGGGTCGTAGGTCGGGGCAGGGCTTGTGCGGAGGCCTGGTGGGCGGGGCTGGGTCGCATGTGATCAGTCAGGCAGGGCGGGGCTAGCAATGGCTCCTGTGGGCAGGTCAGTGCTAGAGCAAGGTATGGAAGGCAGTGCGGGGCCCACAGGGGTTTGGCTGGCCTGTGTGGGGCTCTCACTTGTTATGGTGTGTGGGCGGGGTCAGCGGTTCCAAAGGTTAGGGCATGCTCAGGTGGGTGCTCGTGTTCCAGTTTGGTTGGGGTCTGGGAAGGCGGGGGTGCGGGGATCTAGGGGGTAATGGGGCGGGTGAGCTCAATTCTATAAACTCTTGAGTAAATATTAGGAGTTGTGATAGCACCTGAAAGATCAAGAGACCACTTTTGTCTAACCCAAAATGGGAGCAAGCTAGCATCCAGATGTAAACTGAACCCCAGTACTGCTGTCTCCCTGGCTCCCTCCTGGTCATACCATCTACACTCCAAAGACTTCCTGAGGTGTTTTCAGGCCAAGGGCAATTAAATGCCAAGAGAGAAACAAGGGGCACAAGAAACCAGGCAAAGCAAGGAAAGTAGATGTGGCCTAGTAGGTTCTGCTATCATTCCTATCTTTAATCTTTCGTGTCTGTGAACATCATGGGCTAGAATTACAAAACATTACCAGAAGAGCTTAGGTGAAAGGATATGGGTACCAGGCTTTTCATCTGGACAAATCCAGTGTGAAAAGCAACACAAAACAAATGAGTGGTGGAATGAATACGTTAGGAAATAATATCTGAAAAGGTGTAAACAGGCCAAGCCAACGTCTGTCTGCTGTCTTTAAGAAGCTAAATTTGAACACTGCATTTGGCATATCTGCAGAACAGAAATAAAAATGCAGTGATTGTGTGGTTAAAAAAAAAAATCTTTTTTCCTTAAGAAAGGAACCCTGGTAGCACTGTAGAATAAGCACTGGGTTACTAACTGAAAGGTCAGAGCAGTTCAAACCCACTAGGGGCTTCACAAGTGAAAGAGGAGGCTGGCTGCTTCCATAAAGATTTGCAGCCAAGGATCCTGCCCAGAGAAGGTGAGTCGAAACTACCTCGATGGCACTTGTGGTGGCGGGTGAATGGGTTTTCCTTAAGAAGAACCAAAACAATGTTGTTTTACTTCAATAGTCCTAGTGGCTTCATTGGTGTATACAGGCGCCTAATCTTCTTTTATGTTTAACTTGGACAGGTCACAGAGAGAAGAAAAGTCTTTGTGAAGGCCTCTGCAGCCCTGTTATCTACTTCTACCTGCAACCTGTTTCATGTTTCTTATCTTTTATGCTGTCATTATCCTATACATCCAAACTAATGGTTTCGTACTTCACTTAAAACAGATTATTAATCAATTTGTATAGAGGAAAACACATGTACAAATAGGCCATAAGATGGCTTTGATTTAGAAACAAAAAATGTACTTCTCAGACCAAATAATAAGGAAAAGGTATGGAATCTCAGTGACCTTTGAGATACAACTCAGGTAATTCTAAGTTTCCTAAGTCACCACCTCCTGGGTGAGTCAGCTACTTGCTAGGTACATCGGCCACGTCGTAAGTCAAAGCGTAATTCTGAGAACAGCTGGTACCAGTTTGCTCATGCCACTTGATTGCACTGCTCTCTACTGGCCCGTGAGGGACTGCACCTCCCAAAGCTTTGCTCACACTCCTCAGGAGGATCTCAAATGTTCAAGGTCCCTGTGCATCCCTCCTACTAGTAGGCTTTCTTCTCCTTTCCTAGTCCCTGGAAAAGGATATTACACTTGGTATGGTAGAGAGTCAGTGAAAAAGAGGAAGACCCTTAATAAGATGGACTGACAAACAGAGAAAGACCCTCCATGAGACAGACTGACAAAAAGAGGAAGACCCTCTACAGACAACAATGGATACAAACATGGCACCGACTGTGTAGATGACACAGGACCAGGCTGTGCTTTGTCCTAATGCACACAGTCAGAACTGACTGAACAATAGCTAACAGCTGGGTAAGGGAAAGATTAAATTCTACTATATTGAGTTAGGATGTTGGAGGAGAATATTGAAAGTGCCACTGGCTAACACAAGAAGAAACAGATTTGTGTTGGAAGAAGTGAAGCCAGAGTGCTCCTTGGAGGTCAGGATGGCTAAACTTTGTCTCTCATATTTCAGACATATTGTCAGAAGGGACCAGTTGCTGGTGAAAGATACCATGTTTTGTAAGGTGGAGGGTCAGAGAAAAAGAGGAAGACCCCCAGTGAGATGACTGCCAAAGTGGTGGCATCAATGGGCTCAAGTGTGGCAACAGTAGTGAGGTTGGCCCAGCATCGGGCAGTGTTTCATTTTGCTGTACATAAGTAGCTCTGGTAGCGTAGTGGTTACGAATCGGGCTGCGAACCAGAAGGTCAGCAGTTCGAAACTACCAGCTGCTCTGCGGGAGAAAGATGAGGCGATCTGCTCCCGTAAAGATTTACAGCCTCGGAAACCCTATTCAGGGTCGCTATGGGTCGAAACCGACTCGACGGCACTTAACAACAACAACAACAGGGTCACTATGAGTCGGTACCGACTCGATAGTCCCTAACAAGAACATATACATGGAACTAATGTCACTGAATACTATGTGTGAGGTTGGGCCAGGATCGGGCAGTGTTTCATTCTGCTGTACATAGGGTCACTATGAGTCGGTACCGACTCGATGGCACCTAATAAGAACGTATACATGGAACTAATGTCACTGGATACTATGTGTAGAAATTGTTAATGTGTAAACTCTCAATGAAAACAGAATATTTTTGAAATAATTATACTATATTATACTACATCACTTCATTACCAACAGGTATTTTTAAGATTTTTAAAACAAAAGCATTTCACTGTAAGTTTTACTTACATGTTGGCATTTACATAAAAGAGGTCTGGTGATAATGGCTTGTTTTAAATTCAGTCCTAGAAAGGGAGCAATTCTGAGGTCACTGTGTCCCCTGTGCCATGAGGATGACACTAGGTAGTCTAGTGTCTGAGGCAGTCTGACCTCTCTAGTGGCAGATATGCTCTAGGATCTGTCTGCTCAGCATAAGCCAGAGAAAAGCCCAACTCACCTCACATCCACCTCACCTCCAACATGCATGAGAAAAGAGCCATCAGGCTGCTTCAGAGAGTACAAATACTGAAGAAGCTTCTCCCTGAGAAACAAGCAGCAGACGGGTGGGAGAGGACAATGGTCAGTGCAGAGTCAGCAGGCAGGGAGTCCTTTAGGGTCTGCCGCTGTGGGCTCAGGTTGTACCTGTTAATGACGCTGTAGGCCTCCTCAGTGCCAATGATGCACAGCGCATTGACTGCTGCATACGTCGGTGCAAGGTGTGCATACTGACCAGGGCCCCCTCCAAAGCCTCCTTCTGGGCTCTGACACAGTTCCAGGAACTGACACACACTAGATGCACAGAGGGAAAAAACGACGTCAAAAGGGATTAACCTGGCAGGGCAAAACACCACATTCATTTCCTCTCCAATGATGCCCCCTCCCTTAAAAGCAAAAAAAGACTGTCCTCCCACCTACTGAATAGAAACCATCCCTGAGAGAACTTAGCACTTTACCCCAGTGTCATCAAGTTCTGCCTTCTTATCTGAGTTTTGTATTTAAGCATTTGCCTGGTCATGAATCAAGAAACACAACACTGGGTAGTAATAATCTTTCACCAAATAGGCGGTGAGAGTCCTATATACTGGTGCTGCTCTTCTTGACCAAGCATTTCCTGTATTTTTTGTTCCATGTGTCTCCTGGATCTCTGATAGCATCCTCCTTCTCCTACAGGGTGAGTGCCACAAACAGCGATGCTCAACAACTTCTCCTCACACTAACTCCCTGGTCTAGATCCATCACCTTGGCCTACCACAAACTCTGAGGATTTGCCTTCTCACTTCTCTTGCCACTTGGGCCTAAGTGGGCGTCTAAGTTTTAAAATTTTTTTGAAGTTTTTATTGTGAACTGAGTGATAGTTTACATGGGAAAACATCAGCTTTAAACCATCATTTCATTGCAATGATTGCAGTCTCCTCTATACATTATCATTTAACAGTATTTGCATCCATTACCCTTTTTTTGGTGAAGGGGTAGGGGTGAGGATGTACACAAAAAAACTCAGGAATATATAATCATTTAATACAAAAGGGCACATTCTGCAAGCCCGCCTCCTGGCTACCAGCTCTCAGCCTTTCTTTACTTGAGTCCAGAAGTCCAGAGTCCTCAACTGCTCCCTCTCTCCATGTCCTCATATCTGCCTCCATCTCTGGTGTCACTGCTTCTCGGGATAGGGTCACACATTTCACTTGTGCTCTTCTCCCTTGATGGTCTTAGGGTCCTCTGCTTCTGGACTGTAAGATAAACTATTCCCTTTTTATTACAAAACCTCTACCTTTACAGCTGTGACAGTTGTAATTTGTCATGTTAATACTCACTAATGCATCACAAGAATCCTATCCCCATCTCCTTTCACCAGATTCACCAAGACAAGATGAAAACTATTCAGTGGGGACTCTACCTTCCCATGCACACTCTTCTTTTTTTGAGGTTTTCTTTATTCAATTTTACAAATTCAGGCACTCAGCCCTGTAGACAAGGGCAGACGCCCCTGCACACTCTTACACTTGTAAGCCAGTCACTTCATGCCTGTACCACCCCCACATTTTAGGTAGCTAATGTCTAAGTTGCCCGTCCCTATCTACCCTGT